TAAAGCAGAGACAAAGCAAACAGTGTTGCTTGTTAGAAGAGTGCCATTTCAGAGAACTCTTGTTTTTTTCCCCCTTTCTGCGACGCTTTGAGCGGAGTCATTTGTAAGGTGCCAAGAAGCAGCTGGGCCCAGCTACCACCTGAGTTTCACACAGTAGGGCCTCGCGGGGCCCTCACAGATCACAGGCCTTCTCTGTGAAAGCGCCGCACTGTGAAGCCCCTGGGCCCAACAAAGCCAGGGACAAATAACCCTCTGTTTGTGTGTGTGTGGCTCCATGTTTCTGTCTCATACTGACTGTTTTGTCTTTGGGAATGCTTTGGTCTGGTTCCTATCGTTCTGTTGGTGTCCAGAGGATCAGCAGTCATGGCAAGGCCACTGGGAGTGTATATGAATTCGGAATGGTGTATATGTGAGAAGATATTGGGGAAGCAGGGATGTACCCTACACAAGCAACGTGGTGCCATTCACATCAACTTATACACAGTTTTCCTTCCTTTCAGGAGCATTAGAATAGCACTCATTTTTGCCATGCTGGTAAAGAAATCCCAAAAGGGACTATGTTTCATAAATTAATCAAAAAGGGACTATGTTTCCCAGCTGAGTGATGAGGTCAGATCTTTCCTCCATCCTCGAGGGCAGAGTGTTTGTTTTAGCCTCAGGCCACACAGGGATGATACAGGAGCAGTGTACGCCAACCAGCCCAGCAGCAGTAGATCAGAGCATCAGGGCATCTGTTTGAAACATAAATAAAAGTAGTGACATGAATAAAAGAAAGCCATGAATAAAAGCACGGGCCTGTAATGCAAATGAGCCGGCTGGGAGAGAGGAATTTAGAGTGTGGCTCGCTCGCCCAGGCAGATGTGCTACTGTGATGGCATGGAGAGCTATACAGAGACAGAGAGAGAAAATGACATGTTTTCAATTCAACCCCCTATGCTCATTTGTAGCATGGCAGGCTTCCTATGGGCATTAAGGGCACTGGTGCGCAATAGAAACCTGTTGTTGTGTCTTAATCAACTCTGATCCAATGACTCCTTGTGTATCTTGTGATCTTAGGAGGAGATTCTCACATCATTTAACCACTGTGTGTGTAAGAGAGAGAGAGAGAGAGAGAGAGAGATATCTCCTCTCAGTGGTATGGTTCCCATGCATTAATAAACAGGAATCTTTAACACTCAGCTCCTGGATGAAAAGAGAAAGCTGTTTTAAGCGAGCTGCACGCTGCAGGCTCTTTTAGGACTGCCTAAGGTGACTTTTTCCATTAGAGTTCCCTAGGAACACAAACACACCCTCACTCTCACTATCAGTGAATGGACATAAATATAGTACAGGACAGTCGGCCTCCAGAGAGGAGTGGTAGTGCATAGTGAAGCCCAGTTAACGGTAGTAGTGGTGTACTCCACATCCTTCCAGGCTGGCTCCGGGGCTTCAGCGGTGGAATGGAAGACAGGATGTCTATTAAAAAGTCATGGGACGAGTGTGGTAAACAAAATGGGTGTGACATTTAGCTCATTAGAATTACACACTGTCCTACACAAGCCGAGAGAGGGGGAACACATCGATGTACAGTACTTAGCACTCAAGCACGAGTGATTCAACTCCAAACTACAAGACTTGATTGAGCAATTCAACATGTACACCAATGCTTTTTCATAAAAGGACGGTTCCCTTACTCTTTCTGTGGACAGTTTATTTATGCAAGAGCATTTCTTTCTGAGCCTTTCAGAGCTTCCCCACTGGGCACTGACACGTCTAGTTTTGGTTGAGTTGTCAACTAACGGGAATTCAACGTGAAATCAACAAAAAATGTCACCATGTCAGTGGATTTAGGTTAAATGACTTTTTGCAAATCAAATCAGTTTTCCACTTTGGTTCAACGTCATCACATATAATGTTTTTGTTGAAATTACGTGGAAACAATGTTGATTCATCCAGTTTTTTGCCCAGTAGGTCTGGTGAAACTCTCTCTCACAGAAAAAAACTAAAACATGTGAAGTGGTCAACTGATTATTCATGTGGTTTTTGGAACAAACATTCACATACATTTTCACATTCTGGTGACCTTATGAGGGCTTAATAAAATGGGCCTACAGGAATTCATTGCCAAACCATAAATGAAAATGTTTTCAGGTGGTACTGTACATTTCTCCTTGAGGCCTCTTATCTAAGGATGGCGGGGGAATGGGTGTGGGGGTGGATTCTGGCTGGTATGCTGGGGCTGTTCTGACTCATCATCAGCCCATTACATTTTAAGATACACCACTAAGTACTTTTAGTAGTCCATTATCCACCATTAAATTCTCACAAGTTTGGGTATACCATTTTACAGTCCTGGATATGACCATTTTCACTTTTCCACCAACAGGTTAAGCACTGCAACACTATCAGGCATGCCAGCCGATCACTTTGCCTTCCTTTGGCGAGAGATAATGGTTATCTAGCAACTCAAATGTCACTCAATTTCCCCAATGCTTTGTGTGTCCCCAAGGGATGGCCAGGCCATGTGCATACATCTCTCTATGCAGTAAGATTTGAGTGTGGTGCATTCTGTAGTCATGAGGGCTTAGGCTCTTGAGCACTTGTCCCCATAATCCAGTGTATTGAAAATGAGACTCCAGCTGTTCGGGGCAGAAAGCTGCAGCCTTGGAGGAGTTTGGGGAGATAAGCACTTGTGCCTTCCATTTTGCCTCGAGGTCCTTTTTCTTCTCGCGCGACTGGCTTCCTTTTTTTGCACTGCTTTATCTATGATATAGGGCTGAGAAAGTATTTAAAAAGTGTGTACATGTCATGTCTTTTGGGTTCAGAACAGACCTGGGTTCAGATATTATTTGAAATCATTCAAATACTTTGAGTGTTTGATTGAGGCTGCCTGGAGTGCAAGATGGGCGGGGTTTGCACTTTTGGGACAATTTTATTGGCTCCTTTGCGCCAGGCTAGCTCACTAAGTGCAGCTAAAGTATTTGAAAGAAAACAAATTCTGCTAGAATCCAGAGGTTTGAGTTGTTCCATTGAAATGGGACCTCCATGGCTTTGAAAAAGGATGGATCACAGTCACCTAAGGCCATACATACCCTGTGTTATATAAATTGATCTTCCTTTCTTGTTGTATTAACTTCCTTAATCTGAGATTAATGTAGAGATTGATTTAGAAACAAAACATTGGAGTTTCTCAATATTAGAGATGAATAGACTGACCTTTAAGATGATTGACAGTGACTTTTTTTGATTATTTTATCAACTTTCTCAGATTTGACCTGTAAGACAATAATAGCCTGACAGCCACATTGTAAAGTAGAAGCAACACTTGAGAGCCATTGAGTGGCAGTGGCCACATATTAATATAGCTTGTATCATCGCAGAGAAGTGTTTCAACCAAAAGGCCTACCTTTAATACTTTAGTCTCTATCCTATTGGATTTAAAGGCCCAATGCAGATATTTTTATCTAAATATAAAATCATTACTGTAATAGTTTTCCATTCAAATGGTCAAAAATAAACAAAAATAGCTTTTTAGCAAAACACTATTTCTCAAGCAAGAATTTTGCTAGGACTGTCTGGGAGTGGTCTGAGTGGGGAGGGGAAAACTGAAAACTAGCTGTTATTGGCAGAGAGGTTTGGAACTCTCTTTGTTATTGGTCTATTCAAACTTATACTGCCTGGTGATGGCACCAGGCAAGCAAAAACTCCCTCATGCAAAACCTTCTGATTATAACGTCCTGTGTAGATTGTATTTTCAACTAGCAACTATAAGGAAATAATACTGATACAATCTTTTCACACTTTCACAGTGTTAGTTTCAGCAGATGTACAAGATGATACAAAACCAAGGAAAAACTGTTTTGACTGCACTGGGCCTTTAAAACTGTTGCTAGCCTGTGTGGTACACTATCTCTCAAGACGTGCTCACTGAGATTCTTGTGTTTCTCTCCTTCTGGAGCTTGGGCTGCAGGCTGAAGTGTGCTTGCCAGAGGAACAACGCGTAGGAAGTGGTTTTAGTCAGACAAGGAAGGAGCAACGAGCAATCTGTCAGTGATAATAACGTGACAGCTGGCTACATGCATACTCCTACCTATACAATTGGTTTATGTCAGTATCATCACCCTGCATTATGGCAGACAAGGATTCAGGACATGCCCAATTTCTATAAGTTGATTATGGGCATTGTGTTCCTCACTATGTTCAGATAAGATTACTCCAACTGGGCCTTAAACATAGATGGATGCATTTTACGGTAGGATGTAACCCAATTGAGGCTTTAATATGTTTACCGGCTCCAGAAATAGGTTGTTGTACATCCTTTCCCCCCATCTATCTATTTCATGACAGCTAAACAGGATACCGATTGGTTCATTTGGGATGATAGCACCTTATCGTTATTATTCTTCTAAACCGATCCTACTGTAAGTATAGATAGAAAGTTGTTGGCCTATAGAAGGTTGGGAAAAGTACACATGATATAGTCATTAGTATTCCTGCTTTTCTTTTATGTATTTAGTTTGTAAATATTTTATGTGATATTTCAAATTAGGATGTTTGTTTAGCTGCGGAGAACAGTTCAAAAGAGTAGCTTCGAAATTACATTGTGTTTATTTTTGCTGTGGAGATGGAGATGTTGAGATAGGGTTGGGTATGACTTTGTACCATTAGATTAAACGTGACCTTTCGGTTTGAAATATACTGCATATCCATTTAGAGGTACAATATGCTGGAACTTTACTCTTCAACCACAGAATATTTGAGAAACAATTTCTTGAAGGGAGAGGGGAGAACATCACGCAGCCTTACCCTTTGCCCATGATTCACCAATAACTCCAAGAGCAGGGATTTCAGTGATCTCTAGTCTAAATGAGTTAACCTTACTTTTAGAATATATCAAAAGCATTTAAATGCTTTCGAGTATGACCTGCAGTTAAATATTTCAGATACAGATACAGGAAATGTCTCTATCCACAGTAAATGTTTACGGGAAATGTTTCTATCCACCCATTAAATCGCTCTGTATGATTTTCTCTGTAGTGAGCGTGAGGGCGTTGGATGTCACAGTGACCCAGAGCAGCATCCAGGTAGCCCGCGGCCAGGCGGCCATCTTGCCCTGCTCTTTCTCCACCAGTGCTGCCCTCAACAACCTCAACATTATCTGGATGGTCATCCCGCTGTCCAATGCCAACCAGCCCGAACAGGTAACCCTCCTCTAAACATGTGTATGTGATCTGTGTTGTCTGTGTGCCTCAAAACCGTGTTAATCCTCGGAGGTAAAGCCTAGGCAGGCATTAGCTGTTGAAAGCTAACACAAGTCTTCAGGTCACAGGCAAGGTTACTGGCCCATACACCACCATCACATCCCTCCCCACAGTTCCATACACCTACGCTCCCTCCCTAACCAACAAAATCTCTCAAAACAACTTTATTGACGCGCCAGACTGGTCACCTCAATAAGGATTTGTGAATATACTGGACTGTATTCCCATGTGACCCACATGAGTCGCACTCTGACAATAATCACACCGCATGCTTCTGTGCCAGGCCCCCTGGGTATTGTAGTGTTTGGAGCGTGGCGTACGGCACATACAACACACGCCTGGCCCACCAGACTAGTCCCTGTGAACAGACTTTATCTATAGCCGAGCCAGAACCGGATGTAAGTGGCTGCTCCTGCATGCCCAAAGAAGGTCGCTGTTGTGTTGTAAGGCCATCAAACAAAGCACGCAGGTTTCTCCTGGCCCTTTGATTCGGTCTGATTTCCTCTCATCTGCAGCTGCAGGCACCACAACCTCACCTGCCTCCAACACGTTTAACCTCATCCACATAACGTAATAATCTTCTGCACTAATTAACCTGGAGCAGCTGTTCTCACCAACACACACAGGCACACGGGCACACATGCACACACACACTCAGATAAACGCATGCATGCGTGGGAGCACGCACACACACAACACACAATCAGGCCGACAAGCACACACATGCGTGGACACGCACACACACATACATACAATGAGAAGTAATAAACACACTTACATGACACACACACACACACACACACACAGTAACCACATTCAGAAAAACATACATAGAGGTGCATGCAGCTGAAAAATATCCAATCTTATCCAAATGTGCACACAAGTGCACACACACGCACCATGCTCACACATCACACCTACACACAAGGTTGCACTGCACAGGTATGTACATGCACCCACACACACAGAGAGGCTGTTTTGACACAGTCAAACGCACAGATGGAGAGTGAATTGCTAACGTAGAGCCATTGGCTGTCTTAACCTCCTTCACGCCTGTCTGAGCACCCTTTTGGTGTAAACGGCGAGGCTCGGGAAACATTGTGTCTGGATGATTCTAGCACGAAGGAATTATTCCACCACATTCATTTGGTGACGTAGTCTCAGCGGAGTACAGATGTGCTGTGTATGTGTGCCACCTCAGGCTTTCAGGCACCGCTACAACAGGAAGAAGACAGTCAGCTCTCGGCTAGCACGACAACACCTCATCAGCGCTACAGTACAGTACAGTAAAGTATTGAAGTCACCTACACTAATCAACTTGGGTAAAGTAGTTTGAGTGCACCACAATCATGTAAAATTGGCCACACGTTACAATAGATACAGTATGTTTTGCACCAGAGTCAATACCAGTAGAATAACCAGTTGTAATTACCCGGTAACAAGCTAGTAAATACATACAGGTATGACCTAATATGCTTACCTCTTAACTCTAACTTAAGCTCTAAACAGAATTAACATTGGTAAGAACTGTGTCATCGTCTGTAGTTGACATGCTTATTAAAGGGTAGTTACAGAAGTTATTCACCTAAGAGTTATATTGGAATAGTACCAGTAATATAAAGTATTGCCGTACCATAACAGCATTTTGTACCTGTGCAAGAGTTCAGTAAATGTTTGAAATAGGGAGAAACTTCTATCACAAGCGTGCTAGTACTGCATCTTCATGTTGTCTGGTGGGCTGTCTGAAAAGTTCACTGTGGTTTGAGTGTACACCGCTGCCAGTGTTGCGACAGCACAAGGTCACTCTGTAGGAAATGGCTGTCATGAATGATTATGGTTCGAGCCATACACCATGCATAGTTTCTGAAATGATCTTATAAATCTAAGTTTATGACACATACATATTTTTTTTATAGAAAACAGACAATAATTAAAAGCGTACAGTCTATTAAAGTCCTACGTTTTGTCACGTGTGAAGTTTGATCACAGTATTCAGTTTTATGATTTTATATGATATAAAAATGATTTATATTAATTTATATGATTTGTCTTTCTAAAAGAACCACAGGAGTGTTAACACTGGAAATTACAGGCCTCGAGGGACCCCACTTTGAGCAAATGACGACTCTTTTGGACGTCAATATTCTAATGTTGGGACCAGTATCCAACTATGGAATGAAAGGCATACTAATTCTTCCTCACTTACCACACATAGGCCTATGCATACTTGTTTGTTTACTAGTGCAGACTCTCTCGGACTGCTTCGTGTATTTGGTATCTTTTAGAGCATCCCTGTGGTTATGATTAAGATATAAATAAGTTGTTGATAGAGTTTAGTTCACCCAGCTCTAAATTAAATGTGAGAACATCAGTCGTGCTCCTCAAAGACTCAACACTCATAAACCATCAACCTTTTAGGCTGACTGACTATCAGATCCGTCTGCTCACTTCGCAAAGACAGCTCTTCTAATTCTTCAGTTTGTTTACTCTAATCTTCCATGTTTAGCCTCAGATTAAAGGGGCAATCTGCAGTAGCTACATACATTTTTGGACTGATATGTACCTATTGATTCTTAAGAATATCACTTATAAATGTCTCAAGAGCTTAGTTCAACTGTCGTACCCCATCAGAACCCAAAATATAAGCTTGTTTTACTCCAATGTTTGTAAACAAAGTAAAGCCTCAAAACAAAGTATAGCCACAAAATATGGTTTAAACTATACATTTGATAACATGGATGGTCAGTACTTGCACCCATAGCTCTGTCTATGAATTTGAGTGGTTACATTTTTTCCAGCCCCATCCCTCAGATTTAGCAAAACAATTGTGGGGAGAAGCTTTGTTATTGTTTCAACTGCTGATTGCCGCTTTAAGGCAGAAAGCGTGCAGATGGTGAGGCCTGGTGTGTAGAGCCTTGGAAATTAATCTGTTCATTCTTCTTGACTCCCTAATAAACACTGCTGTATCCTGATGCTAGGTGTTATAGGAAGTATAGGAGATGATTCAGACCAGGGTACTATTCACTAGGCACAAAACTGAAGAAAACGGGCCAAAACTATCTGAACTTGCCCAATAAGAAACGTTTTTTAAACCTTTTGCAACGTTTTGCTATACGTTGTGCCCTAATGAATACAACCCATGTCATGGCTGGTGAGTGTTGGGAAGGGGGTTGTTCAGTGGCTTACAGGCAGGGAGAGGGAATGGGATGGCAGAGGGATATGGCAGTGGACATGGTCTTTGGGGCCAGGCCAGTTCTTACTAGGGATCACCGCCATCTGCACACTGTCCATGACCTCTTTTCCCGGCTACGCGTTAGGTCGCCAATGAGGTCACACGAGAGTGAGGGGTGATCTCACGCACACACACACACACACACACACACACACACACACACACACACACACACACACACACACACACACACACACACACACACACACACACACACACACACACACACACACACACACACACACACACACACACAGACAGACAGACAGAGATACACAGTGGCTGCTGCGGTCGCGGGTGCGTTTGGGTCTTATCACAGCTGAAGGGCTGCCTATTCATCTGCACATAAGAAGACAAAGCGTACAGCGCTCAGGAAATTGCGGCTCCGCAATTTACATGCAGTTAAGCAACAGTGCGGCGGGAGGAAGGGAGAGGAGAGAACATCACACAGCTCTACTGAGACGGTTCTGTGGCTCCCTGGGTCCTTTGAACAGAGCAGTTCAATGGGGTTTCTTTCAAACAACGCTGAATAGCCTCCCTGATTCCTCAGCATGCTTTTGTGTGCCTGGCTAAAGGGTTAGGTGTTTTTTATTTAGAAGGTGCGCGCAAATGGCTGCTTCTATCAGAGTTCAAAGCAACAAAAAGCTTTTGAACACCTCCGACACTCAAACATGCAGCTCGGAAGAGCTCAAATCAATACAGGGTTTCATTTCAATCTTACTAATATCTTTCTGGATGTTTTTCCACTTTGGCATCACTTTTCTGAAGATAAATTGCATTGCTGATGAATTGATCATGTCAATAGCGTTATGCTTCTTCAAATTATTACCATAGTTACCATAGTTTGGTGTTTTAGTTCCTTGTTGTGTATGATTGTAACAGTATGTTGACCATTGAGCTGTGCCCCCCTTTCTGTTCCCCATTTTTAAGCATGGAGGCTGCTCTTAAATTCATGCTTGTTGTAATGTAAAATACTTGCATAGTTCAGGACATTTTGAAATGATCATATTCTGTGCATTATCATCCAAGAACAACCATGTTATACATGGATGGACCACCTTCCATCCTTTCAGTTGTCAAGTGATGCTTCAGTTTATACTGCAACACTAGGTCGCCCTCTTGTGAAGGTTTGTTGCACCTACACTCTTTAGTGTCCAGAATCCTCATGCGCTCACTTGCCTGGCTGTTGATTCTCTGTTGTTTGGTTTTATTTAACTGTGGGATGAAGTATTGCATTTTAATTAACTTAATTAAACATTACTTGTTGAATTATCTCTAGTGTGTACCAGAGAAAGGCTTTTGATAAACTTTATAGGATTACATTTAACCTAAGTGATTGTTTTTCAAATCAAATCAAATAAAATGTTATTTGTCACATGTGCCGAATACATTACATTTACATTTTACATTTACGTCATTTAGCAGACGCTCTCAGGTGTAGACCTTACCGTGAAATGCTTACTTACAAGCCCATAACCAACAACGCAGTTCAAGAAAGAGTTAAGAAAATATTTACTAAATAAACTAAAGTTTAAAAAAATCTAAAATGTGTAAGTCGCTCTGGATAAGAGCGTCTGCTAAATGATGTAAATGTAAATGTAAAATAAAAAGTAACACAATAAAATAATAACGAGGCTATATACAGGGGGTACTGGTATCGAGTCAATGTGCGGGGGTACAGGTTAGTCGAGGTAATTTGTACATGTAGGTAGGGTGTCACGGATTCTGCCGAGGCTGCCCCTCCTCCTTGCTCGGGCAGGCTTCGGTGTTCGTCGTCACCGGAATACTAGCTGCTGCCGATCTATGTTCTATGTTTCTATGTTGCACCTGTTGTCTATTGTCACACACCTGTTGCCCATTATTGTAATCACGCCTTCCCTATTTAACCCAATGTGTTTTGTGCGTGGTTGTTTCCGTTTCGTGTGTTGTTTGTGAGCGGGTTAGTTCCTCCCTGTGTGGAGATATTTCTGTATTGTATTCTTTACTCATTTCTCAGTAAAGTACGTTTCTTCAAGTTCTGTGTCCTGCGCCTGACTTCGACCCACTGACACGCGTGACATAGGGGTAAAGTGACTACGCATAGATAATAAACAGCGAGTAGCAGCAGTGTAAAAACAAAGGGTGGGGGGTGTCAATGTAAATAGTCTGGGTGGCCATTTGATTAATTGTTCGGCTTGGGGGTAGAAGCTGTTAAGGAGACAATAGTTTTGGAGAGATTGCCTCTATAAGATGTTACTATAACTATTCCAAACTGTGCAACAAGGATCTGTGAGTCTTTGACAATTTTTTGGGCCATCCTCTGACACCGCCTAGAATATAGATCCTGGATGGCAGGAAGCTTGGCCCCAGTGATGTACTGGGCCGTACGCACTACCCTCTGTAGCGCCTTACGGTCAGATGCCGAGCTGTTGCCATACCAGGCGGTGATGCAACTGGTCAGGATGCTCTCGATGGTGCAGCTGTAGAACTTTTTGAGGATCTGGGGACCCATGCCAAATCTTTTCAGTCTCCTGAGGGGGAAAGGTGTTGTGGTGCCCTCTTCACGACTGTCTTGGTGTGTTTGGACCATGATAGTTTGTTGGTGATGTGCACACCAAGGAACTTGAAACTCTCGACCTGCTCCACTACAGCCCCGTCGATGTTAATGGCGGCCTGTTCGGCCCGCCTTTTCCTGTAGTCCACGATCAGCTCCTTTGTCTTGCTCACATTGAGGGAGAGGTTGTTGTCCTGGCACTACACTGCCAGGTCTCTGACCTCCTCCCTATAGGCTGTCTTATTGTTGTCGGGGATCAGCCCTACCACTGTTGCGTCGTCAGCAAACTTAATGATGGTGTTGGAGTCATGTTTGGCCACGCAGTCGTGGGTGAACAGGGAGTACAGGAGGGGACTAAGCACGCACCCCTGAGGGGCCCCAGTGTTGAGGATCAGCGTGGCAGATGTGTTGTTGCCTACCCTTACCACCTGGGGGCGGCACGTCAGGAAGTCCAGGATCCAGTTGCAGAGGGAGGTGTTTAGTCTCAGTGTCCTTAGCTTAGTGATGAGCCTTGTGGGCACTATGGTGTTGAACCCTGTAGTCAATGAATAGCATTCTCACATGGGTGTTCCTTTTGTCCAGGTGGGAAAGGGCAGTGTGGTGTGCGATTGAGATTGCGTCAACTGTGGATCTGTTTGGGAATTGGAGTGGATCTAGTGTTTCCGGGACGATGGTGTTGATGTGAGCCATGACCAGCCTTTCAAAGCACTTCATGGCTACCGACGTGAGTGCTACGGGCCGGTAATCAATTAGGCAGGTTACCTTCACTTTCTTGGGCACAGGGACTATGGTGGTCTGCTTGAAACATGTTGGTATTACAGACTCGGTCAGGGAGAGGTTGAAAATGTCAGTGAAGACACTTGCCAGTTGGTCCGCGCATGTTTTGAGTACACGTCCTGGTAATCCGTCTGGCCCCGCGGCTTTGTGAATGTTGACCTGTTTAAAGGTCTTGCTCACATCGGCTACGGAGAGCGTGATCACACAGTTGTCCGGAACAGGTGGTGCTCTCATGCATGCTTCAGTGTTGCTTGCCTCGAAGTGAGCATAAATGGCATTTAGCTCGTCTGGTAGGCTCGTGTCATTGGGCAGCTCGCGGCTGGGTTTGTCTTTGTAGTCCGTAATAGTTTGCAAGCCCTGCCACATCCGACGAGCGTCAGATTTAAGATACCGTCATACCCTTTATTTCCTCCAGATCCAACAATTCAGAGCATTATGTTTGTATCTCAATATAAAGCTCTGCATCAATTGACATCTAGGTAATGCACTTTTCCCTGCTGACCCAGGATGGATAGAGTTGGCCACAGTTTCATAAACTCACACCTGGATGTACAGTGACAGAAAATGTCTGATGTTCCATAGAAATATAAGTGGTCATTCGCACATCCTAGAAATATAACAGAAAGGCCGGCAGATTGTATGTTCCTAATTCGATCCATAGGAACTTCGTTAGGTCAAACTAATGATATTCCATATAAATGGTGTTAGTGAATCTCTGCCTTTGTCTTTCTCATCTCAGGTGATCATCTACCAAGGTGGCCAAGTGTTCAGTCTAGCCAACCACTTAAATGGCCGGGTGGGTTTCGTGGCCACCATGCCCAGCACAAGTGCTTCTATCTTCATCAACAACACCCAGCTGTCAGACACGGGGACCTACCAGTGCCTGGTCAACAACCTCCCCGACAGAGGGGGGCGAAACATCGGGGTCATCGGCCTCACCGTGCTGGGTAAAACACACACTGCTGCATTAGAATTACAATGAAGTTGTATACTATACACATATAGCCTGGCCACTATAACTTGACTACTGACCAGGCTACTGTGCATAGCCTACTGTGATACAAATGGATGCATTAAAACGAGAAAGTGTAAACGCATTGCATATTGTAAGAATTCTATTGTATGACATGAGCTTTTATTTTGACAAATGAGTGTCCTAAGCTGGTTTTAAATATGGCTCTTATAGCATGCTGGGACACCACAGTTCTGTATGTGTATACTATAAAAACAAGACCTGCTTTGGATAAGAGCATCTGTTAAATGACTCAAATGTAACGTAAAATGTAACCCCAATGCCTCTTCAGGAGGCTAGGATCTGTCTGTGCTGATCGCTAAGGTACTAACTATACCCCTCTCTCTCTCTCCCTCCTTCCTCTCCAGTGCCCCCCTCGGTGCCCGCATGCCGTATCCAGGGAACGCTGGACGTGGGCGCTGACATCATGCTGATGTGCAGCAGCGAGGAGGGGATCCCCACGCCCACCTACGCCTGGGAGAAGTTGGAATCGCTGCCCAAGCTGCCCCACACCGCCATGCAAGGTATTAAACCCCTGGCCGTGGGCGTGCCCTTTTGCCCCACCTTCGCTGGTAAATCAACGAGTATCTTCACGTGGCTCAGCCCGCCCACCCCCCAACTCTGCCCCTCAGGGTGCCACCACCCACCCTGGTCCAGTTCAGGGCCTGCATTCACAAAGCATCTCACAGTAGGAGCTGGTCACCAGTTCCTGTCATTTTAGTAATTATGATCTACAAGGTAAACTGATCCTAGATCAGCACTCCTACTCTGTGACGTTTTTTGAATACGGACCCAGTTTTATTTGTGTGTGTGTGTGTGAGCCGTGCAGTGGCCTCTCCTCTCTCTCTCCAGCTGTGTCATCACAGCACAGTGTGTTTCTCACCGTACTACACTACTGCTCGCTTCAACACAAGGCTACCCTCCACAAGAACCAATCGGCTTAGGTTTCCTTCATTACTCCTCCTCCTGCCGGTCTGTGTTGTTTAACACAGTAGACATCAACTGTACCGATACTGCCACCATGATATCTGTCTGCAAAACAGCCCATGTTGCAGAGAAGAGGGTAGTGGTGATATCTAGGCCAGTAATCTGGATGTAGTGCTTATGTGGATTGTTCCAAGCTCCTATGGTAGCCTTTTCTTAAAGGCAGTAGTGTAATATAACGTAATACTCCATAAAGTATCAGACATATGAACAATGGCACTGTAACTGGGTTTATATCAGCAAGGTGCTGTATAATATACAAAATATACACCAGCCGTTTTACGGTAAGTGATTTGGTGCCCTCTATTGGGTTTTTGCCAGTAGTCCCAGTTAATGTACCATATCCTAAAGTAAGTTGAATAATGCTGTTACTTGAAATAACATATCTGCATAAGCTAAATAAGCTGTGCTCAACAATTATTTCAACTGCCTAAATGATTTGAAATTATTTTGGTTATTTCAATTATGTAAGTAATGTATGAATGTATTGGAACACATTACAAGCAAATGGTTACATGAATCATTAGTCCAAAAGGAATTTCATGCATATTTAATGCCAATGCATTTTAATAAGATGTTTTTGTGTTTTGTCTATTTGTTCTGGGATTGTTGATGGTGTTCCCCAGTGATGTTTTAACCCCAGACTGGCATGGTTTGTGTTTAAACCCCAGACCAAATGCAAGGGACCGTAACACTGAGGAACATCAGCACCAGTACATCTGGTCTGTACCAGTGTACAGCCTCCAACGCCATCGGCAAGAGCACCTGTCTACTCAACCTGCAGGTTGTGGCACGTAAGTACCCAACATAATGATGACATAAGCACGGCTTTGTGCAGTACCACTCGGGAATAAAAAAATAAAAACTAAAAAAAAAGTTACATCCTTTGAATACACATTTTAATGTTAAAAATGATTTCACTCTGGAAATATTCCTCCATGATATTTTTATTTTATTTTAAGGGGTAGATCAGCTTTAATATTGCAGATAGACTGTGGCTTCTATCAATGTAATTGTCTGCATCCTTTCCAATACCCAATATATATTTTTTGTAATTATATATATTATTTTAAATATAGATTTTTTTAAATATACTTTCCTTCTTTATTATTTTCCCCTAAGCCTATCAACCCTCCTGTAATTGGAATAAACTAATGGACAACAATAATTTGGCTTCTACAGTGGGGAAAAAAAGTATTTAGTCAGCCACCAATTGTGCAAGTTCTCCCACTTAAAAAGATGTGAGATGCCTGTAATTTTCATCATAGGTACACGTCAACTATGACAGACAAATTGAGGAGAAAAATTCCAGAAAATCACATTGTAGGATTTTTAATGAATTTATTTGCAAATTATGGTGGAAAATAAGTATTTGGTCACCTACAAACAAGCAAGATTTCTGGCTCTCACAGACCTGTAACTTCTTCTTTAAGAGGCTCCTCTGTCCTCCACTCGTTACCTGTATTAATGGCACCTGTTTGAACTTGTTATCAGTATAAAAGACACCTGTCCACAACCTCAAACAGTCACACTTCAAACTCCACTATGGCCAAGACCAAAGAGCTGTCAAAGGACACCAGAAACAAAATTGTAGACCTGCACCAGGCTGGGAAGACTGAATCTGCAATAGGTAAGCAGCTTGGTTTGAAGAAATCAACTGTGGGAGCAATTATTAGGAAATGGAAGACATACAAGACCACTGATAATCTCCCTCAATCTGGGGCTCCACGCAAGATCTCACCCCGTGGGGTCAAAATGATCACAAGAACAGTGAGCAAAAATCCCAGAACCACACGGGGGGATCTAGTGAATGACCTGCAGAGAGCTGGGACCAAAGTAACAAAGCCTACCATCAGTAACACACTACGCCGCCAGGGACTCAAATCCTGCAGTGCCAGACGTGTCCCCCTGCTTAAGCCAGTACATGTCCAGGCCCGTCTGAAGTTTGCTAGAGTGCATTTGGATGATCCAGAAGAGGATTGGGAGAATGTCATATGGTCAGATGAAACCAAAAAATTACTTTTTGGTAAAAACTCAACTCCTCATGTTTGGAGGACAAAGAATGCTGAGTTGCATCCAAAGAACACCATACCAACTGTGAAGCATGGGGGTGGAAACATCATGCTTTGGGGCTGTTTTTCTGCAAAGGGACCAGGACGACTGATCTGTGTAAAGGAAAGAATGAATGGGGCCATGTATCGTGAGATTTTGAGTGAAAACCTCCTTCCATCAGCAAGGGCATTGAAGATGAAACATGGCTGGGTCTTTCAGCATGACAATGATCCCAAACACACCGCCCGGGCAACGAAGGAGTGGCTTCGTAAGAAGCATTTCAAGGTCCTGGAGTGGCCTAGCCAGTCTCCAGATCTCAACCCCATAGAAAATCTTTGGAGGGAGTTGAAAGTCTGTGTTGCCCAGCGACAGCCCCAAAACATCACTGCTCTAGAGGAGATCTGCATGGAGGAATGGGCCAAAATACCAGCAACAGTGTGTGAAAACCTTGTGAAGACTTACAGAAAACGTTTGACCTGTGTCATTGCCAACAAAGGGTATATAACAAAGTATTGAGAAACTTTTGTTATTGACCAAATACTTATTTTCCACCATAATTTGCAAATAAATTCATAAAAAATCCTACAATGTGATTTTCTGGATTTTTTTTCTCTGTCATAGTTGACGTGTACCTATGATGAAAATTACAGGCCTCTCTCATCTTTTTACATTTTTACATTTTTAGTCATTTAGCAGTCGCTCTTATCCAGAGCGACTTACATGAGCAATTAGGGTTAAGTGTCTTGCTCAAGGGCACATCGACAGATTTTTCACCTAGTCGGCTCGGGGATTAGAACCAGCGACCTTTCGGTTACTGGCACAACGCTCTTAACCACTAAGCTACCTGCCGCCCCAGTGGGGTAGTTTTTAAGTGGGAGAACTTGCACAATTGGTGGCTGACTAAATACTTTTTTCCCCCACTGTACTTCCAGCTTATACATACTACAACAATTTCACGGACAGTATATTTTATATTAGTTCTCTTTTGTTTGTTTTTAGTCCCAGCCTTCAGCTACTCTAGGATAACTTTGTTCCCACGCTCCCCCTCTCCCAATTCCACCCCTGGCAGTGGGTAGTAACACTGTCAGCGGAGTTAGTATGCTGCTACTGCACTCGCCTGACCCTGACAACTTTAGTGAGTGGCTTGTTTGGGGTTTGTGACTGTTGTCATGGAGTAAATGGCATGTCACCGGTTGTCACTGGCAGGGTGGCTGTGGCTGTGGTGAGTTCTCTGGCAGAGGCTCGGGGGCTGTCTGTTTGTCAGGGAAGGGACCCACTGTTAGATCAGGAGAGTGATCCTATAAAATCTTTATTGCCACTCAGCCATCTGTTCAGCTGTAAACAATGACAGCATCATTCTCCCAGCGTATGTTTCAGCATGTATGATTAAACACCTGCCACTGTACTACTCTCTCTGAGCTGTAGGACAACAGACTGACCTTATAGTGGAAATGACTAGTATTAATACACGTATTTGTTGTGGTTTTTAAAAGTGAGTACATCATTACGTCCTGGAGAACCACGGGGCATGTTGTTGGCGTTCAACCAAAGCTCCTCAATGTTTTATTCATATCATAATACAGGCCTTACTAGAGTGGCTTCATGCCACGGATGAATACAGTGAGGGAAAAAAGTATTTGATCCCCTGCTGATTTTGTACGTTTGCCCACTGACAAAGACATGATCAGTCTATCATTTTAATGGTAGGTTTATTTGAACAGTGAGAGACAGAATAACAACAAAAAAAATCCAGAAAAACGCATGTCAAAAATGTTATAAATTGATTTGCATTTTAATGAGGGAAATAAGTATTTGACCCCTCTGCAAAACATGACTTAGTACTTGTTGGCAAAACCCTTGTTGGCAATCACAGATGTCAGACGTTTCTTGTAGTTGGCCACCAGGTTTGCACACATTTTAGGAGGGATTTTGTTCCACTCCGCTTTGCAGATCTTCTCCAAGTCATTAAGGTTTCGAGGCTGACGTTTGGCAACTCGAACCTTCAGCTCCCAGATTTTCTATGGGAGCAAGGTCTGGAGACTGGCTAGGCCACTCCAGGACCTTAATGTGCTTCTTCTTGAGCCACTCCTTTGTTGCCTTGGCCGTGTATTTTGGGTCATTGTCATGCTGGAATACCCATCCACGACCCATTTTCAATGTCCTGGCTGAGGGAAGGAGGTTCTCACCCAAGATTTGACGTGTACATGGCCCCGTCTATCGTCCCTTTGATGCGGTGAAGTTGTCCTGTCCCCTTAACAGAAAAACATCCCCAAAGCATAATGTTTCCACCTCCATGTTTGACGGTGGGGATGGTGTTCTTGGGGTCATAGGCAGTATTCCTCCTCCTCCAAACACGGCGAGTTCAGTTGATGCCAAAGAGCTCGATTTCGGTCTCATCTGACAACAACACTTTCACCCAGTTATCCTCTGAATCATTCAGATGTTCATTGGCAAACTTCAGACGGCCCTGTATATGTGCTTTCTTGAGCGGGGGACCTTGCGGGCGCTGCAGGATTTCAGTCCTTCACGGCGTAGTGTGTTACCAATTGTTTTCTTGGTGACTATGGTCCCAGCTGCCTTGAGATCATTGACAAGATCCTCCCGTGTTGTTCGGGGCTGATTCCTTACCATTCTCATGATCATTGCAACTCCACGAGGTGAGATCTTGCATGGAGCCCCAGGCCGAGGGAGATTGACAGTTATTTTGTGTTTCTTCCATTTGGTAACAAACTGAGATTAGGAGCACTTCCTTTAAGAGTGTGCTCTAATCTCAGCTCGTTACCTGTATAAAATACACCTGGGAACCAGAAATCTTTCTGATTGAGATGGGGTCAAATACTTATTTCCCTCATTAAAATGCAAATCAATTTATAACATTTTTGACATGCATTTTTCTGGATTTCTTTGTTGTCTCTCACTGTTCAAATAAACCTACCATTAAAATTATAGACTGATAATTTCTTTGTCAGTGGGCAGACGTACAAAATCATCAGGGGATCAAATACTTTTTTCCCTCACTCTAGGTGTTTGTGCTGAGGTTCAGGAGCTAGCAGTATTGAAAGTAGTTGTTGTAGAGGCATGACCGGTCGTGTGTGATTTGGGTCCCGTTCATTAGGGCACACCGTAGCAAAACGTTTTGTAATGGAAAACAAGTCTTTCATATTGGAGAAGTTCATCCCGGTTTCAGTCCATTTTCTTCTGTTTTGTACTTAATGAACATGACTTAGTCTCTCTCTCTCTTTCTCCCCTGGTCCTTCAGCCCAGCCCCAGAGTGTGGGTCTCATAGCTGGCACCATCGCCACGGGCGTGCTGGCTGTCATCATCTGCTCTCTACTGGTGCTGGTTACACTCTTCTACTGGAAGAACAAGAACAAATACGAGGAGGAGGAGATACCCAACGAGATCAGGTGGGTCTTTCATTGGCTTCCTGCTTTCTTCCATCTCTGTCCATCTATAGCAACACACTAGTCTAAACATTAGACTCTGGACTCACCATAACTGTTCTGGTGCCGTGCATTTGATAGGCTACATAGAATATGTAGTAGATACGTGTTGAAAACGGAGATATACTGTATCCTTGAAATTACCCTTTTGAAGTCAGTTTTATCCATTTGCTGAGGTGTTCAAACTTCAAACTCTCCAACTTGTCTTCATCACACCCCAATTTGTTATTTCAAACACTGTGAATTCTCTGTCGCTTGTTTAAATGGCATGCTATTCTTCCCCTATATTACTTCATAAATACATTTGAAGATAAATCATTGCTGGAATGTTTCAGCTCTGAGCTAGTGGGATAACATCTGCCTCATTTGGGTGTTGATAATGTCCCTGAATTTAAATGTGGTCTCAATGTGGTGCCTCTGCACTTATACCACTGACATTTAACATGTTCTCTAACACCATTTATCAGGACCAAGCTGTGGAAGTGAATGTCACTCCTCTTAGAGTGATACATTTTTTAAGAATGGTTTGAGAAACCTCCTAAACCGTTTTTTTTGTCATTCCAGTTGGAACCACTTGTCCTTGTTTTGTCATTTAGGCCTTCCCAATCATTGCAAGCACTATTCCGACTAGATGATACCAATATTGGATTTATAATACAAGTGAACATCAGTTGTGGTTGTTGATCATCAAACACAACAGGCCACTGTGGCTCATCTGAAGCCAGAAGTAAATATTATCTCTCTGGCTAATATAGGTTTGCCAAAAGGTGCCCCATAGCTGTTTAACTATTCATTTATATGTCCTAAATATAATAAGTCATGCATATTGCATGCTCATTTAATTGACTGTCTCACTTAAATCCCTTTTTATAACAGAGACATCTCCATCGCTATCAGGTCCACTAATTTTCATCTGCGAAAAGAGAGTGTTCAAAACAGTGTAATATCTAATTAGTGGAGATCAAACACAACATTTTTCCAATAAACATTCACAGTAAGGAACACTGACTGCTCAGACTGGGGTTACAAATAGATTTGCCTATTTAAAAGTTTATAAACTTTAAAAAACTGTTTGAAAGAAACAATCCCACTATTTGCAATTATGAGTACATTTCCGACTAGCGTTTTCATTAACAGCTCAGTCAAACATGAAGAAGAAGAAAACCCAGTGGAATTTAAGCTGCAGATTACATCATAGGGCATTGACTAAACAGTTAGAATTGGAAGAGAAACCTAATTGAGTATTAAGATGTTGCAACACACTTGTTAACGTAAAAGCACCAAATACATATGTCACATATGATGTTGATGGAAATACGTTCAAGAGTGACATATTACTTAAGAGATTGGGATGGATATGGAAACCTGTTAACAGTGACTTTTAACCTCCTGTAATTTCTGTAGTCCCTATAGTGACCTCCCGTGCCCTTTGTGCTTGACAGGGAGGACGACCTGCCCCCTAAGAGGTCGTCGTCAGTGAAAGCGTTTCACGCCGACGCCTCATCCTCAGAGAACGACACCCTGACGTCCACCAACACCTACAACAGCCGCTACTGGCACAACCCCAAGCCCAACTACGACACCAACTCCTACACCCGCTACAACGGCGACACGCGCCAGACGTTCTCTACGGGGCAGGCAGGACACACAGGTCAAAAGGGGGTACATGCAGCTCACACAGGACACGGGACGCTGGCGCCGCCGGGCTCCGCCCCACTGGCCCGCCAGGCCTACTCCAATGGTAGCCACACCCTCCCCCCGCCCAAGACTCTGGTAGTCACTACCAACTCCGCCCCCTCCCCGCCCACCATGGTGCGCAGCAATGGCTCGGTGAGCCTGAAGCCTGTGACGGTGGCATCGCACGGCGGGTACACGCACTCGTACGCCGTAAGCCAGGCCACGCTGGAGCGCATGGGCGCCGTGCCCGTCTTGGCACCAGCCCAGAGCAGAGCAGGCTCTCTGGTCTAAAGTAAACTGTTACTGGGCTGAACCAGCCTGCCTCATCACTTCTTCTCTGTTTCTCTCTCTCTGTTTCTCCCTTTTTAACTCATAAACAGGATTTTACAATACCGACTTCATCTAATGCCAACGTCTCCAAGTACAGGACCTCGTTTAAAAACAGTGCCAGGTGTTCTATTCCTTTTGGTTTGTTTTGTATCTCTTCTTGGGTGTGGTTTTCTCTCACTGGTTCCTTGCATTAAATGGCTGTAACCACTGGGATTATACACAAAAGTCACACATAATCATCTGACGTTTCAGGTGATTGTGACTGTGGGTTTTGGACTCATCATGACAGTGAGCATTAACCGTTTAATCTCTGTGTTTTAACCACATCTAGACACTCCAAACCCTGCAAGTCCCATGGAGAACCATCCGAATGTGCATGTACTGTATATTCCATTGAAAACAAACAACCAGATTCTTGCTAGTATTTCATATCACTCAGCTTTTGCGGTGATAATAATTGTTTCTTATCTTTAAAAAATGACAGAGATGTTCTTTGATTCACTGCAGTGGTCTTACATGAACAGAGCCATGGTGGTGGAAATGGCCTTAGAAGAGCAGAGAGTTACGGAAGGGATTTCTGGTGAATTACCAAATGGCAAAGACAACAGAATGGCACAACACAGTAGGCTGGTCCCGTGACTGGACAGGGGTTTTCTGATTCTGTTCATTAGCTCCAACTTCAACATGTTTATTCGTTTTTGCACGGTAGCACACTTTTAATCACCAACTCCTCTGAAGAAATGTCTTATTATAGAACGGTCTTACTTACGCATCCCCTTACCTCTACAGTGAAACTTGTAAGGATTCAGCATTTACATTGATTAGGTCCAGTATCGATAACTACGGTCTTACCTCAAGATTCCATTACGTTAAAAAACCTTTCCCTGAAACTTGAATCTGCAGTTTGAGACATACTGACAGTGTTTATGGAAGTCAGTGATATTGTATACATACTGCTGATTTATTCTAACAAAATCCAATCTCACATCAGTGCTGCTTTGACAAGAAAACATAGGGGACATCTTATTTAATAAATCCTTTCTAAGAAAAATTATATTTAAAGGGGATTTCCCTTGAGAATGCTAACAATTACTTTTTTGTACCTACTGTAAATATTGTAACTACTGGTAGGCTGGGTTGTGAATTTAAGAAAAATACTTCTGTTTCCAATGGATGCATATTTTACAACTCGTATGTCTTAATTTAAGAGGTCTATTCATTTCTGTTAACAGACACTAAACTGGGTTTTGTAGACTGTTGTTTTGTGTTTGTAAAGAAGGGATGTCTAATTTGTACAACTAGGTGTCCTCTGTGGGTGCAGCTGCAAGTTTGGGCTGTGCAATTCATACAAAATGGCAAAGTATCACAGAAACCCGTATACTAAAATGATTGTCTGCATCTGTTGATGTATTAACAAATGTATACTCTATCGATTGTTTTCCAGGGCACTTGGATTTTTTCACAGCTACAAATTCCAGCATTAAAAAGTTACTTAAGTATCCCCAATGATAGTTGAAAATGAAATTAATACCACCTGTAATTAAATATCTAGGTTTGTTCCAGCAGTGTTGTAGTCTTGCTATTGAGGTAGGAATCAGAATGTTTTGGGGGCCATATTTTTTAGACCGTTTTTAGACCTTAAACTAACTGCTGATTTATGTTTTTATATGAATTGTACAATATTATCTATCCTGCTCTTTGCATTGAAAGTCATTAATATTCAACTTAATATTTCACTTGAAAGACAAATTGTTTTGATATTGTGTGATATTACATTAAGAAAATGTTACAATTTGTTTAAGGGTAACCAAAAAAAACACTTCACTCCTGAGAAAACGTGTCTCCTGTATTTGGTGTCAGGATCTTTCTCATTCGGTCTCTACATATACTGTACCTAATGATAGCTGTGGTCTCTACAGTATGAATTCGGCCATTCAATGTGCTCAAGTTAAGTGTTATTGAATTTCATTGAAATATGCTCCAGTAAGAATCCATTAGACGTATTCAATTAAACCTCCTCAAGTAAACCATTATGGATGGTGAGCAGAACTTTCTGTCCTGAAGCAATAAAGACCTACCAGGTGAACCACATTAGGAGGACCTGTTGATGTACAAGATAGACATTTATCAAACTGTTCCTTTTCTGTCGCTCACTCAGCTGATTGGCTGAGGTCCCTGCTCATTGGCTTATGTGTCATGTCTCATTCCCTCTGTCAGGGAACCAAGATTATATTAGTAACTTAATAATTAAAAGCAAATTGCTTAATTTTATCTCTGAAAGCGGCCATGACTAAAACACTGTTCAGTCTGATCAGGTAATATTCACAACTTTTGAGAGTATTCTTTGCGTATGTTTGGTGTTCAGGGACTTGTTTCAACGTCAGAGTACATCCATGTGATTTATGTATGTACTGTTTTATGTACAGTGCCTTCAGAAAGTATGCATACTCCTTGACTTATTCCACATTTTGTTGTGTTACAGCCTGAATTTATTGAAAATGAAATACAGAAATATCTCATTTACATAAGTATTCACACCCCTGAGTTAATACATGTTCCAATCACCTTTGGCAGTGATTACAGCTGTCAGTCTTTCTAGGTATGTCTCCAAGAGCTTTGCACACCTGGATTGTACAATATTTGCCCATTATTCTTTTTTAAATTCTTCAAGCTCTGTCAAGTTGGTTGTTGATCATTGCTAGACAGCCATTTTCAAGTCTTGCCATATATTTTCAAGCTGATTTAAGTCAGAACTGTAACTCGGCCACTCAGGAACATTCACTGTCTTCTTGGTAAGAAACTCCAGTGTAGATTTTTAGCCTATTTTAGGTAATTGTTCTGCTGAAAGGTGAATTCATTTCTCAGTGTCTAGTGGAAAGCAGACTGAACCAGGTTTTCCTCTAGGATTTTGCCTGTGCATTCTATTTATTTTTTTTGTCCTGAAAAACAAGCATACCCATAACATGATGCAACCACCACTATGCTTGAAAATATGAGGAGTGGTACTCAGTAATGTGTTGTGTTGGATTTGCCCCAAACATAACACTTTGTATTCAGGACAAAAAGTTAATTGCTTTGCCACATTGCAGTATTACTTTAGTGCTTTGTTGCAAGCAGGATGTATGTTTGGAATATTTGCATTCTGTACAGGCTTCCTTTTTCACTCCTGCCAATTAGGTTAGTATTGTGGAGTAACTACAATGTTGTTGATCTTTCCTCAGTTAGGAAGGACACCTGTATCTTTGTAGTGACTGAGGTGTATTGATACACCAGACAGTGTAATTAATAACTTCACCATACTCAAAGGGATATTCAATGTCTGCTTTTTTTTACCCATCTACCAATGGGTGCCTTTCTTTGCGAAGCATTGGAAAACCTCCCTGGTCTCTGTGTTTGAAATTCACTGCTCGACAGAGGGACCTAACAGATAATTGTATGTGTGGGGTAATGAGATGAGGTAGCCATTCAAAAAATCATGCTAAACACTATTATTGCACACAGAGTGAGTCCATGCAACTTATTATGTGACTTGTTGAGCAAAGTTTTACTTCTGAATTTATGTAGGCTTGCCATAACAAAGAGGTTGAATACTTATTTCAAGACATTTCAGCCTTTCAGTTGTAATTATTATTTTTTTGACTTCGAAAAACATAATTCCACTTTATGGGGTATTGTGTGTAGGCCAGTGACCAAAGAAATCTAAATGTAATCCATTTAAAATTCAGTCTGTAAGGCAACAAAATGTGGAAAAAGTAAAGGTGTGAATACTTTCTGAAGGCACTTTGCATGTACTCTGCTGATAACCCTGGGGTTGTACACTAGCTTGTTGTGTCTGGTCACAGACAGACACTCAACTGCTCTTTAACTCTTTAACTATTATTAAAGAACCACAGGTTCAGGTCAGATAAGGTGAGGGTATCTGTTTCCTCTGTTAGAGATCTCTTGGGGCAAATCCTAACTTCCACTTAAATTTTACTTAGTCATGCATTGATGTCAATGGGAGACGAAGTGAACATTATATGTTAGACATCTCTTGGGGCAAATCCTAACTTCCACTTACATTTTACTTAGTCATGCATTGATGTCAATGGGAGACAAAGTGAAAATTATATTTAAAAGTTAGGATTTGTCACTTAATGAGCCTGGCCCAAAACACAACTGCTTGAACTAGAAATGGAGAGGAGGGATAACCACAAAACCCAGACAAGTGATGGTGCATTGTCTGCTGGGGCCATAAGTTAATCAGGTTGTGTGTATATAGATAATATATTATATTGCCAATAGTAAACATTGTAAATATGTAAAATATTTATTGTACTTAACAGTTTGATTGATATGAAATATGACATTAACACTGGAAGTTGTAGTGAATAAATATTGTTAATACATTCTAACTAGTTGTGTTCATTGACTTAGTCATTTTAATACTTTTTTTTGAATACAGATGATCTTATTGGTAATATACACCGAGTATGACAAACATTAGGAACACCTTCCTAATATTGAGTTGTACTTTTTTCTCAATTCATCAGGACATGGACGCTACAAGGTGTCGAAAGCGTTCCACAGGGACGCTGGCCCATGTTGACTTCAATGCTTTCCACAGTTGTGTCTGAAGGCTTAAAAATCCTTCTTTAACCTGTCTCCTCCCCTTCATCTACACTGATTGAAGTGGATTTAACAAATGACATCAATAAGGGATCATCGCTTTCACCTGGTCAGTCTATGTCATGGAAAGAGCAGGTGTTCCTAATGGTTTGTACACTCAGTGTATATCATTTTGTACAGCTGATAAGTGTCTTCACTGACATTTTCAACCTATCCCTGACCTGGTCTGTAATACCAACTTGTGTCAAACAGACCACTATAGTCACTGTGCCCAAGAAAACCAAGGTAACCTGCCTTAATGACTATCGCCCCGTAGCACTCATATCTATAGCCATGAAATACTTTGAAAGGCT